TTCATATCATATTTACAATCAGTCATTTCTACCTTATCAAACTTGCATAAAGCCATTTAAAATATAATGTTGTCATGCTTGGTAGATCGGCTTTATGAACAGTCTATTAAAAACTAATGAACATTTATTTACCCTATACTAAACTCGCCTTATATATTTATTATTACTTTTTCAATAAAATATTTAAGCAAATTTTCCGGTAGATATACTTATCATATTGACTATACAAGTTTTTTGTTTGCGCTTTGTGCAGCCGTCACACAAATACATTTATTTATATGGGTCACATTGCAATGCCATGAGTTCTCTGCACTTGGCAACGGATTTCGGGATTCTTTAGGATATTTGGCCTCGTTTCTTTTTTTCAGGGTGGTTCTGGGAGGTTGAAAGAGGAAAAGAGAAAGGTAGGATGGAACTGTGTCCATGAACAGGGGCAGCTGCTATTTTTGTTCCATTCGATTTGAAAACAGATCATCTATATCAAGATTATCATATGATATTTTTAACATTTAATGGGTCATATTTTATTAACATGAACTCTTGATATTAGCATTGATGTACACTAAGGTTTTTGAAACTCGTCATAACTGGATTTCATGCATATAGAAACCCTTACTGTTCTTCTTAATTCTATTCAAAACGCGGCCCGTGACCAAGTGTTATCGAGGATTAGTTTTGTGTGCCGCAGAAAGTGTGTCAATCAACAATAATGCGTTCGATAATGATGAACAGCCCCATTTGCATTGGCGATTGATTGAGCGGAGGAGATCATTGAAAGATACGCCACATATAGAGGACCCCGCAGAGCTGATAGCATTATGTATTGTATAGGGTATAAAACCCAGCTGCGAGCCACATGTAAATATGCAGATAGTACTTGCTTTGTGCTCTAATCTATTGGAAATAGGAAACTAAGCCCAATGCAAAAATACGTCAATCGAATGCACCATCATATAGGCAGTACGGCCATAAAGATAGCGATCAATCTGAATCAAACAAAGAGCTCGATGTGCGACTTAAATTGCGAAACTGCACTTGACTCATATTTTCGAATTACCAGCTGCAACGAAATTAAATGAACCACGACCATTCAGAAGTCTTTAGTCTGTAGTCTATATACTACGTAGGCGAATATCTGATACACCCGCAACTTGGACTTTAAGCGACGGAAATCGGCAACAAAACATGACTCCCCCATGATAACGTGCCCATAAAGGTAAATCAAACCGATAAGCAATGAATATATAAGTATGTTCGTGCCCGCATGCGAACAGAACAATGAATTGCATATGAGATTTCTAAAATTTCCAGATTGGGGGAACTCAACTGAAGGTCGGCCGTTGGCTTTTCCACTAAAAATAAACGTAGACTAAACATTCGTATTTACAGATTTGCATTTAGAAATGTAGCTACATAAGGGAGAATCCATCAAAACAAGGCAATTTCCATTAGCTGATAACGATCTGTTTATAAGGGCCCAGTAACTAAGGCGAAATGTGCAGTTCCAACGTGATCGAAAACAAAAATAGCGATTATCTATAGGCACTTGGCGGTGAAATGGGGAGAGTGTGGGATATCTTGGCAATATAGTTCGTGGTGCCGTCGTCATTCGATACGGTGACAAGTTCGCGTGGCGATTCGCAACTCGTGTTCAAGTGGTTCGAGTGCCAACAACAAAGAGGAAGTGCGGTGAACACTTGATAAATAGGGCTATAAAAGAGCGGTCATGAATGAATTGGTTTATAAAGAGTCGGATGAGGTGTTTTTCCAACACCCTATCTGAATAACCCTTGGATTCGAGTTGGCACTTTGAGTACAAAGGAAATGGAGCGGATAATAATAGTAATAGAATTTTACAAAGTCTACAAAATTAGAATAGAATAGTCTGTAATACATAACTTTCTTTTCTATTTAAAAGTAAAACCAGACTTAAGCAAGTTAATTTTAACCATTTCCCCAATTTAAATTCAATACCTGTTCACAATAAAACACTGTTGGCAAGCCCGAACTCAAGTACAAACTTTCACAAATCTAATCTGTCGGCGGAACAAAACGTCTTTTGTCTGTGAAACACTTCTGTACTTATACCTGCCTGTACTTAGGACCCAAAACCCTGTATGACGAAGTGGGTTTAACTGCATAACGACTTTTAAAGTCCAAATTAGACACGCTCTGTGTTGCTGAGTAATCAAATAGGCCTAGATCAAAATGCAACCGACAGCATTTAATTGCGGCAATTAAAGTGGAAACTGAAATTACAGGAAAATTCGAGTTACCTGCAAACAGCTGGGCAGGCCAAAGAACTTTCTAGCAGCTGAGGATAAAGATCAGGTAGGAAAAAGTAAAGACCCTACAAGAAAACCGGAAAAACAGAAAATGCAAAACGGAATGATCCAGAGTAATAGTATTGTCGTAAGAAAGTCCAGAACAGTAAGACCAAATAAAAGATCTATTAAATCTTCAGTACTTGATTATTTCCAAAACTAATTATATTTCCTAAGGAACTCTTCTCCGATTTCGGTTTCCAAACTTATATTTTAGAACGTAGTATTCCGCGTGTGGGAGCTTCAATGGAACCAAAGTCAGGGGAAATTGAGCATGTTAAGCCCCGGGGGTGATCATCCCATTGGCACAAAAGCAAAAAAAGAACGATTGATTATTTTAACGATCGAACGCTGCTGCCTCTGCTGACGTTATTCCAGATTATAGCTCTCGATTACCCTGGTCAAGCGATAAGGCTCATGATCTGCACATTGTTGCACAGTAGCCGTGAGTAATCCAGCTGACATTTGTTTTTCTCCCTCGCTAGTTTTGTGTTCCCCAGTGATTGACATGTTTATACCCACGATACAAACGAAGCGTTACACATAAAAAATCGAAAACAAGAACTCGTGTTACAAGCCCTATATATATTTCACAGCCTATATATAGACCCGATTCCACAATGGCACAACTGTTGCCTCGAATTCCTAGGCGACTTTCGATGAACGCGCCTCCTAAGCATAAACAAAATATATGAATAAACACTCGACCTTCAAGCATCTCGATCAAAATAGGTTTGAATGCGTACAGTTGGGGTCAAAATAGTAGTGGCCATTTTGTGATAGATGCAAAATTAAATTGAGGTTTTTACTTTATCATTCTGACGTCAAATATTTATAATCAATTCCAGGAAAACTTTAATCTCATTAATTTATTTCATTTTAATTTAGATAAGATGAACAGTATAAAGATGATGGATTTAAAAAAAGTTTGGATTAATAAATTTGTCTATAAATCAGAATTGTTGATAAAGTCATTACACAATTTACTGAAATATTTTAAGACAAAGACGCTATTGTGTTGCCCACGGCTGTGTTTGTGTAGCCCAACCATTTGCCGATATATTCGGGTGCCGCTTTACAAAAGTGCGTTGTCCCGGGCTACAGAAACTTGTTTTTCTGTTTTCGTGAGGTTTTTCAACTGCGCCGTAGTTTTCTTTCGACAGACGAGCCCCCTTCGGAATTGGACAAACACGCCCAAAAACACACACTATCACAAACAATTATGAAAGACCCCCATTGACTTCCTAGCGACCTACAAACGCAAACAAGCTTATCAATTCAATGCAATGCGTTTTATATTGAGCCCCGCAGCATCGCGCTATCACTCTTTCTCCCTCCCACTTACAGAGTCACTGAACTGCCCAGTGGTTGTTTTTGCAGTCAGCTGTTTCTCGTATGTACGTGCGTGTGTGTGCATTTCGCGAGAAAGGGGGAGAGAAGTAGAGAAAATACCAGAGGGGGTCCCGAATATATTGAAGGGGGGTTTACTTCCAAAGAGCATTGTTCAAAGGCCAAGTTCAAACTAATTATTTTTTGCAAAAACTATTACATACCAAAGTTGTACACATTCGGTTTTATATAAATCTTGTAATAGGTTCTCGGGAAAGAAGAAACAAAATAAGTTTTTCTAAAGGTTAAAGATGCTGATCACATCAAGAAAAATATTTTTCTATGAAAATATGAATAGTTATAAAATTGAGCTTGGCACTAAATAGTGTTTAAATAAATAAATTAGTAGTGTTTCAAGGTTCTAATTCCAAAGGTGGTAACCCCCTTGGATCCACCCATGCAGTCAGGGGGAAGAGACTCACCCAATGGCAAATCGCAGAGGAGACAGCAGGCGGCCAAGGAACCGGCCGATGCGCCTCCAATCTTCTCCAGCAACAGATGCGGGGCATACTTCTTGAAGCAGACGGCCACTCCGACGTGGTAGATGCCCAAAAATCCGCAGCCAGCGAATGACAGATTCATGCTTTGGACTCTGCGTTAGATTGTATAAATTGTCCGTTGACTGTTTTTTTTTTGATGGCGTCACAGTTTTTGGTTTCTATTTTTTTCTAGCACTTTCCACAGGTTTGCTCCGCGGACTCGAATTGAAATGCAGCTCCTTTGGTTTGGCAATTTGTGGGCGCGTCTCGAATAAATCTCGTTTGGGTGCTCAAACACTGTTTGTCGACTGGAAAATTTACTCCGCTCTCGAAAAAGAAACGTTGGTGCTCGCGAACCGTTATTCATTCGCTCTGCCGACGTCCGCCCCTTTTTATATATTTTCCGTGGTGGTGTGACCGCATTTGTGCCTAAAAAACGCGTTAAAGAAGACCGGTCGTGACATATAGGGTATTCTTGTAAATAACCGTTTTTTCTTAAAAATTGTTATTAAAAGTATTTGCTTAAATAATAAATGAATTTCGTAATTAAATTATTCTTGAATTTAAAAAATTACAATTTTAAAATTATTGATATGAAATTTCATATCATATGTTTGCAATTTAGGTACGTATAGACTTTTAACATACTTTTATAGAGAATTTATTAATGCTCTTTAAAATGGCCTTTTATAAAAATATTATAATAAATTATTATAAATAATTAAAAGCAAATACCCAAACGATATATTTATCCACCCGCAGCCGACACATCCGATAGCCACTACGCCCATCACTAGCGAGTACACATCTTACTTCTGCCATCGCTAGTACTCGGGTTGCGAAAAGACAGGTATTCATGAAAAAATGGATTTAGCGAAGAAACTACAGGAAGTCGGGTGGTAAGTACACGGTAAAATAGCAGGGAGCAATGGGGCCTAACGATTAATGCAGGCACCTGACGGAGGAGGGCCTCAAGATCCTGACCACAGCCGTTGGCAGCGAGGATCCGCGCAGAATAGTGGATGATGCACTGAATGTGAGTTGCGGGCGCAACCGAACCGGCTGCCTTTTTCGCATTGTGCGTGTAATCATTAATAATAAACGCATTACTCACGATTTCAGAGGGATATCCGCGATATAGGTGGTGGCGCACTGCCCGCGAAACGCGAAGATGCCACTTTGCCCGGAAAGATTGTGCTGCAGGTGCAGAGGGTGCGGAATATAGCAGCCCCCAAGGCGAACGAGGAGTCGAAGGCGGCGCCGCGGCTCATCCAACTGGACCTGAGTGATGGCCAGAACAGCATTCAGGCACTGGAGCTGGAGCCGGTGCCCCAGCTGAATCTCAATGTGGCTCCCGGCAGCAAGATCTATTTCAAGGCCGAGAAACTGCAGCTGATGCAGGGATTTCTGCTGCTGAAACCAAGTGAAATTCAGCTCCTCGGCGGCCGCGTGGATGCGCTCTACGAGAAGTGGGATCTGGCCAGGACCATGCTGCGGTATGCGCGCAGTGGTCGGCCCCTGAGTGGCACCTCGGCTCCGCCGCCCTGGGTGGCGTTTGGCCGGAAAATCGATACGACCGCCGAGAGGGAGAGGAACTTCAAGAGTCTGGGCTCCGCGGGCGGCGACAAGGACAAGCCGGTGAAGGAGAACGACGAGTTCAATGCCATGCGCACCGAGGCCATTGCCGTGGCCACCAAGGCGGGCGTCAAAAAGGTCTTCGGCGGCGGCGGCCAGAACATTGTGGATCACAACATCAAGAAGATCCTGGACAAGGGCTTTAGCGAGGAGGAGGCCCGCAGTGCCTTGCATGCCACAAGGAACAACCTGGAGCGTGCGCTTTTCAACCTCAAGAGACGCAAGGAAGCGGGAGGAGTGGGTCCCATCGAATCCATGGGTCGTCCGGGACGTGGAGATCGTCCGCCGAGGGAGGGAAAACGTGGCGCCAGCGCCAAGGACGAAGCTGAGGCAGCCAAGCCCGCTGCCAATGCCACCCTGTTTGATTTCCTAACCACAAAACTGCCCGCGTCGGAGACACCGGCTACCACCAGCATTGCCGAGACCTTTGCTGCCGCTCCGACTGCGCCACCCACCATCAACCACTTCAATCCGTTTAAGCAATTTGGAAACTCGAGGTTCAGCGAAACCGACAGCAGATCTTCAGCTCTGGGCGGAGCGGGAAAGTTTGGGGATCGTTCGAGGTTCGAGAACAATGTGTCGAGCAGCTTTGCGGCGCATCGTGGCGGACATGCTGGTTCCTCAAGGGGCGGTGGACGGACTCGAGGTGGTGGTCGAGACGAAAGGCCACCAAGGGAGGAGAGAGGGCACAGAGAAGAAAGACCACCGAGGGAAGAGAGACCTCCCAGGGAAGAAAGACCTCCCCGGGAGCGTGGAGGCAACTTTAACGAACGTGGAGCTGGTCGCAATAAACCGGAAACCACGGCCATCAAGTCCTCGAATCGCAATGGCGCGGACAACTCGTCGGCCAAGACGAATTCCGAGGCCAAAACGGAACCAGAGACAACCAATGGAAAGGAACACACCGGCGGCAATCGACGTGGCAGCGATCGCGGCAGTAATCGTGGAGGCTCAAACAGAGGAGAGAACGGCAATGCTAATGGCAACAGGCGTAAGCAGCAGTCAGTTGCTGCCACAGCAACTGCCACTGCAACTGCAAAGCCCTCAACCAATGCAGGTGAGGATTTCAATGCCCGTTTGAACAAGGTAACCGAAGAAACGGCCAATCTCAAGGTGAGCAGTGCTCCCAAGCGAGAGAACCGACGCAAACAGAGTCACGGACAGGCCAATCGGCAGGCGGGAACGGGAACTGAAGTCCAGCCAAAGCCGTCAGCCCAGTTGCCTTCGCAGAAGCCGGAAAAGGCGCAAACCAATCAGAAACATCAGAATCAACATCACAATCCGCGGCATCATTCGCATGCCAACTACAGTCAATTGGCGAATGGCTATACGTACGATCCCAGCAAGATCATGGGTTTCCAGAGTAAAGAGGCCAACGAGTTTGCCATGAGTCTGCTCAAGAGTCAGGGTGTCACGGTGCCCAACCAGCAGCAGCAGCAGCAACAGCCGCCACAGGAATTGCCACCGCCAGCCGCAGTTCATGGAAATCCATTTGCATCCCAGCCAGCTGCTGTGCCTGTGCCACGGGCTGCGCCAAGGGATCAGTTCGGAATGACGCCGGGCGACGCTTGGCTGTGGCAGAAGGGCGACTTGTGCATGGCCAAGTACTGGGACGATGGAAGGGTGAGTTTAGGTCGCTGGACTAGGAGTTGCAAGGCTTAATCTTTAACCAATGCAATATAATACCATTTCGATTGAATTTTCCTTTGAAACTTATTCTCTTCATCTGAATCTTTCAGTATTATGAGGCTGAGATCACCGGAGTGTCGGAGAAAACCTGCGTGGTCTTCTTTATGGGCTATGGAAACCACGAAGAGGTGCTCAAGGCAGACATCCTGCCCATCACTGATGCCCAGAACAGGCCGCTCAGCAATGTTCACCAGCAACAGCAGCAGCAGCAGCCTCATCAACAGCAGCAACACTCTCGCTTCCGCGGAGATCGTCAAGCGCAGCAGCAGCAGGTCTACGTGCCGCCCCACAAACGAGAGCATTAACACAATGCCTGTTTACAACGTATTTAAATCAATTGAAATGTTTCGAATAAACAACTTTACAGTGTATTCAAACTAAATAAGTTGCTTTATTTAGAGAAAAACACAGGGTTTCTAGTTCTTCATATTTTAAATTTTTATACCCTTGTAGAGGGTATTATAATTTCAGTCAGATGTTTGCAACGCAGTGAAGGAGACGTTTTCGACCACATAAAGTATATATATTCTTGATCAGCACCAATAGCCGAGTCTATCTAGCCATGTCCGTCTGTCCGTCTGTCCGTTTCTATGCGAACTAGTCTCTCAGTTTTAAAGCTATCGCGATGAAACTTTCCCGAAGGTCTTCTTTCTATTGCAGGTAGTACATATGTCGTAGCGAGCCGGATCGGACCACTATATCTTAAGGCTCCCAAACAAATATAAGAAAATTCATTGTAACTTTGTAGGAAGTAGGCGTTTTGATTCTTGACTACTTAAAAACAAAATTGAAATAAATCGAAACGCTGAATCTGGAATCCCTGGAACTGCACCGAGTGAGTATTCTTTTATCTACAAGGGTATATAAGCTTCGGCTGGCCGAAGGTAGCTTCCTTTCTTGTTTTAAATCATACAAACAACTAAGAAACTCGCTAGTTTTCCTTGTTTACTCAATCAAAAGGAACACAACAACAATTGTCGGGTTTCCTCAAACCTGAATGTGATGCTTTTAAATGTAAATTTGTTTCGTCCTACATTTGGTTCAGTTTGTGAGTTTGAAAATATCTGCATCATTTTCATAAGTGTTCCAGGTTTCGTTAACCTTTTTGCGAATTAATTTGGAAGAAGATTTAACAAAATGCATTAGATTATGTGTTCAGCGGCTTAATTTAAAATGCTGATCAACAGAAATTTAAATGTATCGGATGAAACTGAGTAGCCCTTATGTTGTTTTTCATACATACAAAAAAATAGGACTCAAAAATAAGGATTATTGATGATTTTTATTTTTTTTTGCTCAAAATAAAACTCAAAACCGCCTCGCGGGCCTTCTGTAAGACTTTTCGCCAATCTGATTTTACAGCCATCTAAGGGGCTGATCAAAGCTACCTCCACGATTTTTTGCTGTTTTTTTTAACCACTCTTATCCTATGATTTTTAATATTAATTTAATTTGTAGACTGGAATAAAATAAAAACAAGAAAGGAAGCTACCTTCGGCCAGCCGAAGATTATATACCCTTGTAGATAAAAGAATGCTCACTCGGTGCAGTTCCAGGGATTCCAGATTCAGCGTTTCTATTTATTTCAATTTTGTTTTTCAGTAGTCAAGAATCAAAACGCCTACTTATTACAAAGTTACAATGAATTTTCTTATATTTGTTTGAATATTCCTATGGGAGCCTTAAGATATAGTGGTCCGATCCGGCTCGCTCCGACATATGTACTACCTGCAATAGAAAAAAGACTTTTGGGAAAGTTTCATCGCGATGGCTTTAAAACTGAGAGACTAGTTCGCATAGAATCGGACAGACGGACAGACGGACATGGCTAGATAGACTCGGCTATTGGTGCTGATCAAGAATATATATACTTTATGTGGTCGGAAACGTCTCCTTCACTGCGTTGCAAACATCTGAGTGAAATTATAATACCCTCTACAAGGGTATAATCATAGGATAAGTTATTTTTTAAAAGTGGTTAACAAATTTGCAATAAATCGTGGAGGTAGTTTTAATAGTCTCTTTAACGGCTGTGAAATCAGATTGGCGAAAAGTCTTACGGGAGGACCGCGGGGCTGTTTTGAGTTTTATTTTGATTGGAATAAAATAAAAACCAACAATAATCATTATTTTGGAGTCCTATTTTTTTTTGAACAAAAATAAAGATTACCATTAAACAAAAAGATAAAAATCATATATTTAAAAATCATGGCGGGAATGCATAGATTGGACAAAGTTAATTATTTTGGTGAAAATCTTTTTAGGGCTATTATAAGTGGCCGATTTTTTTGTTTGAAGAAATAAAAATAATCATTATTTACGGTCCTTGACTTAAACCTCTATTTTTTCAGGGACAGCGACATTTTAGGAGGTTGTTTTTAGCAACACAAATGTCGGGTTTTTCATGTTAAAAAAAATTTGAATATTGGCTACAAAGGAAAAAATTGTAAAAAGCCAACTGAAATGTTTTTCAAAACGCCTCTAACTATAGAAATGTTGCAACATTTTTGAAGGGACACAACAATTGCTTTTGGGTTGTTTTTTGTCCTGAGGATACAAAGAATGCAAAACAAAGCTCTGCGCACGATAGCAAATGCACCGTGGTACGTGCGAAATGAGGTCCTAGCCAGCGACCTGCAAATTCCTTCAGTGAGAGAGCAAATCAACATGCACTCAAGCCGCTACAACGAACGACTACTAGCCCACTCCAATCAATTAGCTGCATCCTTGGCAAACCCAATCACAAGAAGAAGGCTGAAGCGTCGACACCCTGGTGATCTCTGGACAAGAGGACGCCATCAAACCCGCGTCCTGAGACAGTAATGTAGAACTGTCAATGTTATAAAATTGTTCTTTCCACACTCATGTTATGTTTCCAGTTATTTGTTTCTATGTTCTAAATTATGCGTTTTATAACCATTAAGTTGGTTGATCAACGCTATAAATAAAAATATGCTATATAAAAAAAAAAAAAAAAAAAAAAATGGGTTGTTTTTTGATTGTTAGAGTTTTCAGGGACACACCTGAATGATCTTGATGTTTGATGAATTTCTATCAGTCTCCTGGCTGTTTATAATCTGTTCCCAAAAAATTAAATTTTCAGAAGTTTCAGAAACTTTTTTAACAAAGAGATCATAAACACTGTGATTTTTTTTTTTTTTTATTACTCTGTTGCCGAAAGTTTAAACTTAGGGCACAGGAAAAGAACCGGCCATAGTTCCAATGACATTCGGCCGGAAACACTGTGATTATTTTCTTTTTGGTAAGACTAATGCAAATACAAATGCACTGCACAGATGCGATCCAGAACGCATCTTTTGGAACGCATTCAGAAGCATTTCAAAAGATGCGTTCTGGATCGCATCTTTTGGAAGGGAAAAATGGAAACCAATCCCGAACGTTTCCCGAAGTTGAAACCCATGGCCGATGCGTGAAAGGGAAGCGCTCCAGGAGCGCTTCATCGGATAGCACCCATTTTGTCCCGCTTTGCTGTAAAAAGGAAGCGAGAAGTTAATCGATCGGGCACGCATGCATCGGTGCTTTGGATGCTATCCATCATCCCTTCTGGATGCGTTCCACTTCCGACTGGGTTAGAAACCAACCCATCAAAACCGTATGTATGTAGGTGTCACTGAAATTCTAAAGATTTCCTTTTTTTTGGAAAATTTACCATTAAACTGAAAGGGGCTTCCAAATAGAAATACTCTATGGGAAAAAGTTATATTATAATGCAAGTACAAATAATCGTAGTTTATAATATGTACCCGTCTTACCAATATGAAAAAAATACAAAATATAAAATCAAACAAAAATTTCTAGTTGTTTAAAACTTAAGATTTCTTTAAGAAAATATTTTAATGTTATTTGTTTAAAAAATGAGGGTATTCACCAGTCCTGACAAATGGGAGATGTAGCAAATCTGCCAAACGGTTATATGAAGTTTGCCACTTTTGTTATTAAAAATATAAACATAGGTCGACCTACGGCAGGTCTAGAATTTTTTATTTCATTTATTTTCTTGTTGGATATGCGTAATTTTCACCTGCCACAGCTGCCATCTGCGACACCTGCCAGGACTGGTGAATACCCTTAATATTTTATTGCAGTCTTCATTCGTTTGGTATATTTCATGTTTTGGTATTTTTTGTTGATGCGGGGAATTTCAATTGTCAAGTGAAGGTCACACGTCAGTGAGCAAACTAAATAAATATTCTTTGAAAAATATGTTTGGAAAGAAGAGAACAAACAATTAACAACATTTCACAAAAACAATAGCAATCTTTAGGATTGTTATGCAAAATAAATCTAACGGAATCCAGCGATTTGCTTTGGTTTAGTTTATCGAGGCAAACAATCGACGTTTTCCAACACCTGCACTCCGCAGTTTTCCACTTTTGCGTAAAATAAACAAATAATATTAAATTATTGCCACAACAATGGTGAGTACTTCTACAAATTGCGGTCATAGTGCGGGCAAAGTTAGGACCAAGTGAGAGTCCGGGAGAAAGTGGAGAAAATGCTCTATTTTCGCATCCGTAGCGTCTTCTTCTTCTTGCAGCGCCAGCTTGGGCACACTAGTTGTTGTTGTTGCCGTATTTATGCAATTCGCCTGGGCAACAAAACCTATAGTAAACAAGAAAGAACGCTATATTTCGTATAGTCGATTGTCCCGACTCGTCACAGTCCTGCCTCAAAATATGAAGCCTGCCCTATAGGGCATATATTAGAAAACGGGGATGGTAACTTTCCTAAACGTTGTCTGATATTCTCTGACTAAGATATTTTCAATACAAAAAAAAATAGAAAGCTACAAACAAACTCATAGAGCTCTCCATCCCAAATCCCACCTCTGTGGTTCTTATAGATCCTAAGATCTGGACGCTTTACAACTTTTGAGCTAACCCTTACTCATATATACCCCATTCACTCTATAAATATCATTAGTAACCAACGATAATGATTTTGCAGAATAAACTGAAATCCAGCCAGCACCGCGAGAAGGTGAAGAAGTTCATATCGCTGACACAAACGGGCGAACAGACGGCCATCTTCTGTTTGCAACAGAACGACTGGAAACTTGATCTGGCCAGCGATAATTACTTCCAGAATCCGGAGTACTACTACCGTGAGCTGGACAGGAAGCGCATCGAGCAGCTGTTCGTGCGCTACCGCGATCCCAGCGACCCGCTGAAGATCGGATCCCAGGGTGTCATCCACTTTCTGGAGGATTTGGACCTCAAGCCGGACTCCAAACTGGTGCTGATCATTGCGTGGAAGTTCCACGCCGAGGTGCAGTGCGAATTCTCGCGGGATGAGTTCATTAATGGGATGTGCGACCTGGGCATCGATAG